TGGTACAGAAGTGACTGCTGTACACACTGATTGTCTAGAGTGTGCTGTCGGCAATGATACCAGCAGTGGTTTTCTCATCAGAGCAGGTCCTGAGGCCTGTATTGGGCATGATTCTTTTTAAGACAGTCTTGAGCAGCTTCTCTAGCCCACCTGTGATTCTGTGAGCTATGCATGATTCTTGGAGGTTCCTCCTCTGTTCAGTCGGCCACCGATATCTTCTCCTGCTTGCAGCTCAGCCTTGTGAGAAGAGGTTGGAGGGTTGCATTGCTCTATTGAATGTGCTGCATGCAGAGGGAATAGTGATTCCCACTGCTGCCATACCCAAGTAACTGATACTAGACTGGCCTCTAAATTAGTCCATTCAGGCTGCTGTAACAAAATGCCATACACTGGCTGGCTTATAAACACCAGAAATTATTTTTCATAGTTCTGGGTGATGGAAGTCCAGGATCAGGGTACCAGCATAGTTGGGTAAGGGCCCTCTTCTGGGTTGCAGACATCTTGTAGGGATGGGCAGAAGGGATGAAGGGGCTATGTTGGGCCTCTTTTATAAGGGCACTAATCCCACTCGTGAGGGCTCTGCCCTCATGCCCTAATCACTTTCCAGACCATCACATTGGGAATTAGGCTTCAACGTAGGACTCTGGGGGGACACATTCAACCTATAGACCTTTCTAATGTAAGCAACTAAAAAACTGCACAAAACATAGGAAACCACTGTTTTTAGATATTGAACATAGCAAACGGCTGGGATTCCTGAAAGAAAGGAACAAACGAGTCCAGCTCTACTGTCACTCTAACTTGCTGCTGGAAGTACCTTCTGAATTGCAGAACAGTGTGGGGGAACTGAAGCTGACCACAGTGGCCTTGCCAAGTGAAGAAGGAGATGGTTGAGGAGATTTTTCAAGGCTGAGTACCAGAGAGGAGGAAGTATCACAGTAGAAAAGGCTCCAGCACCATCCTCTTGATTCTGTTGCTAATACCAAGTTGCACATGCATAGAGTGAAACTCCACAACGTTAGGCAAAGAACTACCAGAGAGCAGAGTTGATTGGTTTCCAGGGCTCACACAGGGCTGGGAGAAGTTTGAATTTCAACCAGCCAATGTGAAGAGACCTTGTTGAATTTCCAGAGAAGTCAGTAGAGACTCCAGAAGGGTTTGCATTCATAGAAGGGCTAAATTAGCTCTTGGTGAAAGCAACTCTAGAACCCCAGCCTCATATAGAACAAGTTCACCCGCTATTACAATCACTGGTAGCCAAAACAAATTTCATCATTTTTTTAAAGGACAATAACCAAATATAGACGTGCAGCACTATAAAATTCAGAATGTCAGGAATTACTAGATATGCATAAGAATACGGAAATATAATCAGGACAAAAATCAGGATATAGAAACAAACCCAGAAATGATGGAGATAATGAAATTAGCAGGTGAGGACTTGAAAAGGAATTATAAATATACTCAAGGATTTAAAGGAAAATGTGAACATGGGGAGGAAGGAAATGGAAGATATTAAAAAAAAAAAGAAGGAACCAAGTCAAACTTCTCGAGTTTAAGAATACAATACCTGAAATGAAAAACTCAATGTTAAGCTTAACAGACAATTAAACATTACAGAAGAAAATATCTGTGACAGCGAAGATATAGCAATAGAAACTGTCCAAACTAAAGCAGCATTTGGCATCTGAATGCATCCCCTGAGCTGAGCACTGGTAGCAAACATTGCTCCTGGTGTCCCTGAGCAAGCAGAGCATCTGAGATCTCTCGGGGCGGTCCCTGACCATGGCTCTCAGGCTGGTAGCTTGGCCAACTGACCCCCTGGGGGATTTCTGGGGCTCTGACTGCTGACCTGCTCCTACCTCCCCACAGGCAACTTGAGGAATGTGGTTCTAGGAAGGGGAGGGTGACTGGCATGGTGTTTTGTAAATGACGACACCTGATGTTCACCTAGCACTTTGCAAAGCCTTTTTACGCCTCACATCATGAGGCTTTGTGTCTTTATCCAGATGGAATTCAGGCAGATTTTGAGCCTTTATCCAGGTCACTCAGCCTGTAAGTGAGAGACATCAGGATGGAAACCTTTACCGTTGAGACTCTGTCTCTAGCGCATTTCTCATGACACCGGGCTATGGCTTGTGCAGACATCGGAGGCAGAGATGCCTCCTGGTTCCTACCCTCAGTTACCATCCTGTGACGTCCTGTGGCCACCCGGCACGTGGGGCGCACTCAATAAATATTAGCTATATAAACTGCTCATACATCATGTAGCCAGAATCTCAAACCACTCCCACCCCACCCCCCCACCTTAGAAGAGGCCTGTTTGAGGGGTGAATACTTTGATAAATGGATTGAGGAAGACCTTCTGAGGGTCTGCTCAAGTAACAATTGATGGGTGCTTAACTGCTTTCTAAGGTGGGTGGATTCAGTTTGAGGTCAGTGGGGTTGAGCGTTCAGGACCACAATGTGATTAGAACTCCTAAGCTAAACCACAAAAAAAACCCCTAATTTTAAAAATGGGCAAAGGGCCTGAATAGACAGTTATCCAAAGAAGATATGCAAATGACCAGTTGGCACATGAAAAGATGTTCAACGCCCTGATCACTAGGAAAATGCAAATCAAAACTATAATGATACCACCTCACACCCATTAAGGAGGCTATGATTAAAACAAACAAACAAACCCAGAAAATAACAAATTTTGGTGAGGATGTGGAAAAATTGTAACCCTTGTTGCGTTCCTGGTGGGATTATAAAATGGTGCAGCCACTGTGGAAAATAGTCTAGCAGTTTCCTCACAAAAGTAAACAGCATTGCCACATTATCCAGGAATTCCACGTCTAGGTATATACCCAGAAGAATTGAAAGCAGGGACTTGAACAGATATTTGTACACCCACATTCATAGCAACATTGTTCACATTAACCAAAAGGTGGAAGCTGTCCAAGTGTCACTTGATAGGGGAACAAAATGTGATATATCCATACAATGGAATGTTATTCAGCCTCAGAAAGGAAGGAAATTCTGCTCCATGCTACAACATGGATGAACCTTGAAGACATTCTGCTAAGTGAGACAAGTCAGTCACAAAAGACAAATATTAAATGATCCGTCATACATGAGGTTCCTAGAATAGTCAAATTCACAGGGACACAAAGTAGAATGGTGGTTGCCGGGGACTGCGGGGAAGAGGAAATGGGGAGTTAGTGTTTAATGGGTACAGAGTTCTGGAGATGGATGGCGTGTCCGTTGCACAGTGTGAAGGTATTTAATGCTACTGAGCATTACTTAGTGGTTAAAATGATAAAATTTATGTTATACATATTTTACCACAATAAAAGAAAAAGGACAAATGGGATTTTACTTTTAAAATGGGATTTCCAGCTTCTCTAAAATACCAGGTCTTACGCTCCCAAGTCCCTATTTCCTAAGGAGGCAGATGCCTGGACCCTTTAAACAGGGATGAAATGGAAGGGCTTTTTTGTGGGGCTGAGGGGAAACCACCACTGAAAACCTTTGGCTGTGCAACTTTGTGGCAAATTGCTCTTGGGGAGAACTTGACTTCTTTGAAATAAGTAACCTTGCTGCAGATGTTTGAAAAGGAGAAATAAAGCTGTGAGTTCACATAAATTATTTTGGGAGAAATGTTTCTGACCCTGCCTGGTTCTCTTGTTTATATTACCTGTGGGTATTAGCTTTCTCCAGCCCCAACTAAAGGCCGCTTTGCTACTGGGATGGAGTTCTTAGATTAAAACTGGACGTGGCCCATTAGTCATCACCAATTGAGGCAGAGATACAGCTTTGTGGGCACTTTTGATTTCTGCTCTGGGTGTCTTCTTTTACTTCCAGGCCAGATGAACTCTCTGGCTGTTGCCTTCTCTCCCCACAGCTTGCTCTGTCAGGAGCAGGGTGCACTGGCCTCCTTTCCCACACCTTCACCCTGAGCAGAGCTGCTCCTCCGTATGAGGGGGGCGCTGCAGCAGGGGTGTTGCCAAGTGCCCTGAGTCATCAAACCTGACGGCTGTTGTACCACGTTTCCTTGTACCACATCCCAGGCCTCTGTTCTCGCATTCTTGTCCAAGTCCTCATCCATGCAGTCTGAACCTGGCATTCGCTTCTGCCAGACTCTCCTGCCTCCACCAGCATCAGGCTAATGTTCCTAAACCCAGGTTTGGCCAAGTTACATCCCTGCTGAGTAGACTTTGACGGATCTCCTTAGCCTAATGCCTCAGCTTTCAGTCTGATATTTCAAACTTTCCCTAGTTGAACTCCAACCGTCTTTCTAGACATCGCTCACTCCCACTGCCCCTGCAGGCCTGTCTGCTCCTTCCAAACCAATCTGTTCTCTGCACTCAGACCTCCTACACATTCCCACAGCATTCTCCCCATCTAGATGGTCTCACTCCTCCTGCTTCTCAGAGTTGTCCATCCCTCAATGCCCGTCTGTACTTCTCCCTCCCAGGGTTGGTTGACACCTTGCCCATAGGACCACTCTTTCAGCTCAAGCTGGCAGCTGCTCAGCCTGTGTCCTCTCCTGGCTCTAATCCTGTCCCATGTTGGGTGCCAGGTACCTTTCCACATTTTTGAACCAAGGAAACCCCAAGGCCTTGCTTCGAGTCAGGTAATCTGTAACAACTTGATCGATTCTTATCTATTTGGATAAATCCTCCTCAATGAATGCTGCCAACTTGCTACTTGTTGTCGGTGACCTGCCTCCAATGAAAGCATCTATTGTCACTGATGGTGTGTCTCAAACCACCCCCTACAGGCTTTACCTGGCAGCAGAGCAATACATTATGAAAGAGCCTACGGTGAGCTTGGGAGGGGGTTTCAGGGACTGGATTCCTTCATTCACGTAGCTTTCTTGAAATGGCTGATTTCTAACAGACCACACTATGGTGTGATTACCTGTTAACCTGTTCATCTCCCCCTTGACATTGTGGTTGTGGGAGGCAGAGCTGGTATCTGCCTTGTTCTCTGCTCTATCTCCAGTGCCTATGCAGTGCCTGACGTATAGTAGATGTTCAACAAATATCTGTTGAAGGACAGAAAAGGGTCTGCCCCCTTCCCACGTGTTTAGTATTTAAAATCCCCCAAAGGAGTCATAGTTCTTCTAAACTTCCTCACCCATTTCCTGGGCCCTCCAGCCTCTGGAAAGCCCCTTCCCTCCCTTACCCTGCAACCTCTAAGTGTCCAGTGGCCCAAGTTTGGTGCTGCTTCTCTTTTGGCTACGAGTGTCGAGCCCACACCCAGACACGTCTGCCCTCAGACTCAGTTACAAATCCCAGCTGGAAGGAAGAACAGTTGTTTCAGGGTCTCGGCAGGACTCCGGGCTGACAGACACATTTTGCGCACCAAGCACATCTGCCTCCCCCTCCTCCCTCTCATGGTGATGTGGATCCCCCACGGTGCACACAGGTTCACATAGGCGAGGACCCTGGAAGAGAGATCTCCAAGCTCACACTTCCTCTAAGGACCCCTCCTATGCCCACGGATATAAAATCATCAGTTTTGAAATTTCTTCTTCCCGAAGATCATAAGGAGGGGCTTCTAGGGATGTTAGCAGTGTCCAGTGTCCTATTGCTTGACCTGGGTGCTGATTACAGGATATTTGCCTCATCATAATCCATTCAGCCATTCACTTTCCTGAATGAGTATTACATTTCATGATAAAAAAAAAGCCCCCTCTGCGGTTCCCACCCTGTACCCAGGACAAGCCCTTAATTCAATCAATTCATGTTTAACTTGCGCCTGTCTACATCTAACCCCTGCTGAAAAAGGAGATTCTTGTCCTCAAGGAATTTCCTGGAGGGAGCCAAGTAATGGGAGCATCAAAAGACACAGAATCCAGCTCTGAATTATATCTGGAAAATAGGCCATGCTGTCATTATTTTGAGGAGGAGTCCAGAGGTCAAGGAGGTGGTTGGGCTCCAAGTGGGCTGAAGACGCGGGTGGGCTTTAGATTGGCAGAGAGACACCGAAGAAGGCATCGTAGCGGGGAGAACTGTAAGATCAAGGGCTGTTGGGGGTGCTGAGCCTGATGTGTCAATGTAGGGGGGTTGGGTTGCAATGAAGAGACCCTGGTAGTGAATAGTTTATGGGAGTGAGACTGTCTTGGAGAGTTTCAGATACTGCTCCCAGCCCCAAACATTGGCAAGGTGGATGCCACTCCCAGGGCAACCCTGCCTCATTGGAATGGAGAGTCCTGGGCCCTCAGGCAAGAGCAGATGCATGTGTGTTTCACATTTCTTAGTTTGTTTTGTTGTTTTGTTCAAGCCACAGGCCCATGTGGGCTCCTAATCCCCATCCCAGACAGACAGGAAGTTACATCTGCCAGACGCATTACGTGGGCACCCGCATTCCTGCAGGGACAATTGCTTAATCCCTGACTTTTATCCCAGCCCCACCCTGCAGCTGCCTTCCAGCCTCAGCACTGATAAAGTGATTGGAAGTGGAAGTGCACCAAGGAAGCAGGAGAACTCAGGACTGCAGATTCGGGGACGGTGTGCCAGGCTGCGAGATGACTCCATCCCACTCCCCAGCTCGAGAGCCCTGGAATTCCCAGACTTCACCCACCATCACCAAGGATGTGGCTGGCCACCTGAGACCATGGGTGAAAGTGCCAGGAAGTTTTTGGGAGGTTCCCAAACTCCATGCAGGGCCACTAAGTTTAACATGAGGCAGCAAGACCAAGATGTGTTTCTACTTACTTTAGGGAGTGGAAATCAAATCAGTCCTAAGTACTCTGTACACACAAAGAGTGACTGTGATGAAGAATGAGGCTTAAAGCGGAGGAGAGGAGCTGTAATAGGAGGAAGAGGAGGAGGAGGAGGAATGCTGCTGCTGCTGATAACTACCAAGCATGAAGACTGACTTTGTGCTTAGCATTATGCTAACCATTCACTTCTGTCATTTAAGCCTCACAATAATCCTATGATGCGGATGCTATTGTTTCCATTATACAGATGAAGAAACTGAGGCCTTGAGGAGTGAACTGCTTTCTTAACGTTATACAAATGCTAAGTGCAGAACTGGGATCTGAATTCCAGCAGTCTTACTCTAGAACCGAGACTGTGGAAGCTGGAGAGGCCTACCTAAGCCCTATCTGGGCTTGGAGAGAATGTCCTCCGTCACCGACTGGAGCACGTCAGCCCTGGTGGCCGATGTCACACTCATAAAGACCACCTGGCAAATTTCCCTTGCTCTGGTTTCTCATGAAACAACCTTTGGATTTGGCTTCCCATGCGATTCACATACAAGGAAAGAAGGCCGTGACCTGCCAACATGACAGCTGTATTTTTCATCAGTAAGTTAATAAACTGGCTGCCTGGGTTCACACATGTATTTGTGTCTGATGGCTTGGTTAATGTGAGCCCACCCCAGAGCTGAAGCCCACCGTGTGCCAACTGAATTGAGATTCTGGGCATGCAAGAGTAGCCCCCAGCCGAGGCCTGTGTGCCAAGGAAATTCCTCTTGGCCTCCTCTGGGTCAGCTTGGCTTGCCTTCCTCAGTGACAGCCTGGCTCTTTGGATTCAAGCTGCCTGGTCAGACTGCGAGGGTCATCTGCAGAAAGAAAGAAGCCACAGTGCCAGGTTCCAGTGCGCGTTCCAAGTTCCACATTCTGTGTACAGACGCCTGGCGCCAGAGCAGAGAGGCTGGCTCTTGGCAGGGGACTGGTAAGGATTCGTCTGGTACATTTTTTTCCTCTACACACTTAACCTGGGGCTTCCTGGATCTCCCACTCTCTCTGCTTTCATTCACAGTGGCTCCCAACTGCTGACCAGCAGGGTTACTCATGGAGCCCTTTTTTAAAAAAAGATACTTAATGGACTTGGGTTATTTAGGAGCAGAGCATGTTTTGCTCTGTTTACAAAAGTGCAGTTTAAGAAAAACTACATCCTAAAATAATGGGGAAGGGTTGGGCTAAATCATTTTCTTTTTAACTTCTGGTGTAAGATTTGTAAGGTTGAACGCAAAGTCTTGGTCTTTGTCACAAACACTGAGTTGTTTTTCCGTCAAGCTTGGTGAGTGGTGCATCTTTTGGGGAGAGCATTCTCTCTCTGCCCCCTCCCTTAATGAGGTACTGGGGATTGAACCCAGGGCCTCATGCACACCAAGCACATGCTCCAGCACTGAGCTGTACCCTCTAGCCTTCTTTTATTCTTTAATTGTAAAAAATATGTAGCATGAAATCTATCCTCTTAAGCTTTTAAGTCTACAGTACAGTATTAGCTCTGTGTACACTGTTGTACAACAAACCTCTAGGACTTTTTCATCTTGCATGATTGAAACTCTATACCCATTAAGCAGCAACTTCCTAGTTTCCCTCCACCTAGCCCTTGGCAACCATCATTCTATTTTATGCCCCTATGAATTTGACTACTTTAGATACTTCGTTTAAGTATTATCATGCAATATTTGTGCTGTGACTAGCTTATTTCACGTAGTATAATGTCCTCAGAGTTCATCCAGGATGTAGCACATGACAGAATTTCCTTGTCATATTTAAGGCAAAATATTTCGTTGTATGTATATGCAACACTTTCTTTATTCATTCAATCGTCAGTAGGCACTTAGATTGTTTACACCTCTTGGCTGTTGTGAATAGTGCTGCAATACACATGAGAATGCAAATATACTGAGATCCTGTTTTCAGTTCTTTTGGATAAATATGGAGAAGTGGACTGTTGGATCATATAATAGTGTTTAATCCATTTTGAGTTGATTTCTGTATACGATGCAAGATAAGGGTCCAATTTTATTTTTTTGCATGGGGATATTTAGTTTTCCTAGTACCATTTGTTGAAGAGACTATCCTTTCTCTATTGTGTAGTCTTGGCATCCTTGTTGAAGATCATTTTACTGCATTTGTGTGGGTTTATTTCTAGGCTCTCTAGTCTGTTATGTTGATTATCTGTCTGCCAGTACCAAACTGTTTTGATTTCTGTAGGTTTGTAATATATTTTGAAGTTAGGAGTGTGAGGCCTCCAGTTTTTTTTTAAACATTTTTTATTGATTTATAATCATTTTACAATGTTGTGTCAAATTCCAGTGTAGAGCACAATTTTTCAGTTATGCATGAACATATATATATTCATTGTCACATTTTTTTCTCTGTGAGCTACCATAAGATGTTGTATATATCTCCCTGTGCTGTACAGTATAATCTTGTTTATCTATTCTACAATTCTGAAATCCCGTCTATTCCTTCCCACCCTCCACCCCCTTGGCAACCACAAGTTTGTATTCTATGTCTATGAGTCTGTTTCTGTTTTGTATTTATGCTTTGTTTGTTTGTTTGTTTGTTTGTTTAGATTCCACATATGAGCGATCTCATATGGTATTTTTCTTTCTCTTTCTGGCTTACTTCACTTAGAATGACATTCTCCAGGAGCATCCATGTTGCTGCAAAAGGCATTATCTTGTCGGTTTTTATGGCTGAGTAGTATTCCATTGTATAAATATACCACATCTTCTTTATCCAGTCATCCATTGATGGA